ATTCCCATTCTATACTTCTTATTTCACCTCCTTTCCCTATCAAGGATTCAACAGATGCAGTTAGTTTGCCTTTTCCTGAATTAGGCATAACTAACATGTGGATGTCGTAGCCAAAATGAAGGTTTAGAAACATCTGGCATGAATGGCTGTTGTGATTAATTCATTCATTTTGGACTCAACCTTGTTTATCTAAACAGAAATATTTATAAATCTTCTGCACATGTTATCCATTTCCTGTTATACAAAATCACTGACTTGCACGCTTAGCAATGTGCTGAGATCTCAGATGCTTGATACCAGGAAAAAAATTGCATTTTGCCATAAACCCTTTAGAGGATGACCAGATTTAGCAAATAGAATTTGACAAGAATAATCTCCTGATCTGGTTTTCAGGTATTAGACAATTATCTAATTATTGTTAGACAATATGTCTGATATAGGCAATATCAGAATTTTGATTTTTTTTTTATTGAAAGGCATGCTTGCTTGCAAGATTAAAAAAAACTTTTGTAAAAATATTTCTAAAATCAAGTTTAAAATGTCAGTATAAACCAATGGTGGGTTGCTCCCGGTCCGGTCTGGTTCTATAGAACCAGTAGTAAAACCGGTGGGAAGCTCCGCCCACCTGCCACAACATCATCATGGGTGATAAGGGCTTTTCTTACTGCAAATTGGCATAAAACTTCATGAAGCATAATAAGTAATATAAATCAAAATAACAAATGTCACATTTTAATAGTTGATATTAAAATGGATGAGATGATTCTGTACTTACATAGTTTTCACTGTTAATTAATTTTATTTAAGCTATGGAAATAGATAACTACTTAAATACCTCAATTTAATATATTAAAGGCCAGGATGGATAAAAATCAATGATTTTTTTTTAAATGATTTTTTTTAAAAAAACTGATTTTTTAAATTGGATTTTTAAAATTTAAATTGGATTTTTTTTATTTTTATCAAATCTATTTTAATAAAATGCTTTTGGAGTAAAAATCTATCTAAAGATAGTTTTCTATTTAAGATACATTAATAATTTAGTTTATTCAGCATGAAATGGAGCTTAGTTATATAGCATGAAATTGTATATTCTGCAATATTTACACTTTTGGTAAACTCATTCAATGAATCCAAGCTCTGCAAGCTAAGATAACTTGCACTGCATTGATGCATTCACACTATTTAACAGTAACCATGAGATAAATCATAAAACAAAGTTCAGGAATATTCCTTTATCCCATTGTTTTGCAAATTTATGTACAAACTGCATGATTGTTTGAAGAGAAATGCATCTGTACCACTATGCTCTAAGTGTGAGAAGGAAGGGCAAACAGTAAAAATGAAAGTGAAACCTTAGCAGCTTATAAATATAATATTAAAGAGTACCTGTCATTTCAGATCCAACATGATTTTCTAAATGTTGTCCCAAAAATTTTTGGTATGGCAATTCCTTGGTTTCACCATATTTCAAATGCCTTTTTCATGAGATAGGACAGTGATGGCTTACTTTTTTGGTGCCAAGTGCCCAAAGCACACGCACCCCCAAAATGCAATGCGAGCACCCCTGTGCATGTGCCCTGCTCCCCCATGCATGTGTGTGCGTCCTCCGTGCATGCATCCCACCCCCTTCACCCGTTTTTGGCTTCCAGGTTGGTGCAGGAGGCCTTCCAGGCCCAAAATGGGACAGGGGGGTGCGCATGTGCACGAACTCCCCAAATGCAATGTGAGTGCCCGCGCACATGTGCCCCACTGCGCATGGCACACAAGTCATGTGCATGTGCCCCCTTCCCGCACATGTGTGGCAGAGACCTGAAGACCAGCTGGCTGGTGGGAGGTGCGCGCATATGCACGGTGGACCTCGGCTGGGGTTCATAGGTGCCATAGGTTTGCCATCATGGAGATAAGATTTTACCTTTGAGTATTTATTTGCTACTCTGCAGTTTTAAAATAGTCTGTTTTCCTTTTCTTGTCTCCTTCCCCCCCCTCCCCCAAGTATAGTATAGTCTTACATTTGGGAGCATTTTGCTTTGTGATTTATTGTCTTATTCTTATATTTTACCTGTCTTAGGTATTAATACATTTTAGTTGGTGTATGTATTTGAAATACTTAGTTTAGTATAGTTATAGGTTACTCTGAATATGAGATCGAGATAAAATAATTCAAATAAATATTCTAAATTATATGTTATTTTAGAAGACATAGTAATATAGTTTCTATGGATGTAAGTGTGTAAGTGATAAATTCAATCAGCAAAATATACATTTCAATAATATTTGTGAAATAAATTACAAGTTATTATTACAGTGAATCCATGGTCAGTTTATACATAAAGTCAGGATTTTAGCATATCTTGATTGAAACAAGCTTGCTGTGAAATGTCATTTGATTGTACTTGCTTAATTTTTTCTGCTGGCAGGAATGGTCAAGCATACCAGAACACCTGTTTGCTACTTCTTTAGAGTTACATGCACACTAGGACTTTTTATTCCACTTAATTTAGAGGGAGGAATTTTTCTCAACTTTTTTTGCAAATGTAACACAAAGCAAACCACAAATAAGATTTCCTGGAGTATTTAGCAATTCCTATAGCAGGGAACAAGTGGCACAACTTACATAGTGTGCATTAAATAACTTCAGCATATTGTTACATATGTATCAAGATATTGGTGTAATTGTTCTATCACTTTAGGCATTTTCATCTGAAACTGGAAGTGATGATAATATAATATGATGTTTAGCAAGTAAATGAGAATATTCTCTCAAGTTTATACTATATTGATAATTTACCTTTTTGAAAAAAAATATAGTTACAAAAATTAACATATACTAGAAATGAAATTGGAATTTATACATTGTTTCATGTATGATATTTTTTCTTACATTAAACATATGTAATGTTTTCCCACAAGTACAAGGTTTGCTTTGTATAGATCAATCCAGGTGTTGATCCTTGATTATGACAGGAATTGGCTGAATAGCTTGTCACCCAAGCCTAACATGGGCTGAGAGACTGATTGGCCTAAAGTTCCCCAGCAAAACTCAACCCTAAGTGGCTGGGCTAAAAATCTCAGCCCCCTCCTAAGCATACCGATCCTCTGCAAATTCATTGGCGACATACATTTTGCTCTCTGAGTTTATGGGGACCTAACCCTAACCCAAAGTGGGTTTACGCTCCAAAGTGATTTTCCCAGGTATTTAACTTGGACAGGTAGAAAAAATGAGCTGAAAAATTGAGACCCCTCCTAAGCTTATCAATATGTCGCAAATTTATTGGCGACCTCTGTTTTGCTCTCTGCGTTTTCCCTAACCCTAAGTGGGTTTTCCCGCCATTGGGATTTTCTCATGGATTTAACATGGACATGTAGAAAAGGTGGGGCTGAAAAACTGAGCACCTCCTAAGCATACCAATGCGCTGCAATTTCATTGGCAACATCCATGTTACTCTCCAAGTTCATGGGGATCTAACCAGGGCTGGGTTCTACTTACCTTTACTACCGGTTCGCAATGGGATCACGTGGGCGGGGTCTCCTGCCGGTTTTACTACCAGGTCTTGCGAACCAGTCCGAACCGGGGGCAACCCACCACTGGACCTAACTGTAAGTGGGTTTACCCTCCAATGAGATTTCCCCATGTTTTTAACATGGACAGGTAGAAAAGCTGGGCTCAAAAAGTCATCCCCCTCCTAAGCATACCATTGCACTGTGAATTCATTGATGCCATCCATTTTGCTCTCCAAATTTTAGGAACCTAGCCCAGTGGTGAAATTCAATTTTTTTTACTATCGGTTCTGTGGGCGGGTCAGGGGGGAAGGATACTGCAAAATTTCCATTCCCACCCCACTCCAGGGGAAGGATACTGCAAAATCTTCATTCCCAGTCCCCATTCTGAAGCCAGCCAGAGGTGGTATTTGTCGGTTCTGTGAACTACTCAAAATTTCCGCTACCAGTTCTTCAGAACCTGTCAGAACCTGCTGAATTTCACCCATGATTTAACCCTAACATTTAGTTGGTTTTTCCTCCAATGCGATTTTTCAATATTTTTAACAGGGACATGTAGAAAAGTTGGGCTGAAAAACTCAACCCCTCCTAACCATAGCAATGCACTGCCAATTCATCGGCAACATTCATTTTGTTCTCTGAGTTCATGGGGATGTAACCCTAACTATAAGTGAGTTTACCCTCACTTCATGCCTATGGTGGGGTTATACTATTCTGGTTTCTGGCCTGATGCCTTAACCACTAGCTGAACCAAACTGGCTTTCTGTCTAATGTATAAATATGTGTAGTGTAAATATAATACTTAATGTCACACGTTACTGCAGCTCTTTTCATGCTGTGTATAATTCTGGCTATGATATTAATTTTAAAATATTTTTTAAAATACTAGTTAAGATATTAATTAAATTACTTCTAATATTAAATTTAATTATATTTTCAGAACATATAGTATGAAATTCTTAAATAGAAGAATGTTCCTTATGCTGTGAACACCTTTTGTGCCCAATGTAATCTTAAAGCCAAAGGACTTGAATGCAGTTCTCAGTCCCAGATATGAGGTGGGAGCCTGGTATAAGAATAAAAAATATTCCATTTTTTTTTTTAGGTACAGTACAAGTGAGGACAAAGTGAGATCAGAGCAGATTTTCTGAGTTTTTGCTGAAATGAGTATTAATATAGATCAATGACCTTTTCGGTGCCGAGTGCCGGAACTGGAGCGCACGCACTGGAATCTTCTGGGTTCCATTGCCCGCATGCATTCCAGATCAGATCTGGCGTGCATGTGTGCAATGGAATCCAGAAGAGCAGTTGGTGATGGTGCGCGTGCCCACAGAGAGGGCTTTGCGTGCCACCTCTGGCATGCATGCCATAGGTTAGCCATCACAGATATAGATGGTTTTGAAGTAGTTCTTCACCCCATCCCCTGCAAGATCAGTTGTGGATACTCATTATTTTTTAAATGGCCTTATTTTTAATGTTTTATTTTCCTTATTTTACAGTTGTCCGTATTTATCTGAGAAGATTACACCTGCAATTCCTGCAGTTGGAGCAATTCTGTTCTTTTTTGTTATGGGGACCTTGCTACGTACTAGTTTCAGTGATCCTGGAGTCCTGCCTCGTGCAACACCAGAAGAAGCAGCAGATCTAGAAAGGCAAATAGGTAACACAGAAGGTCTGTTGCAGTCTCTCTTTTCTCATTTTATTTCTCTCTCTTAAATGCCAGTTAAGCCCACATTTTAACAGATTTTCTAATAATTCTAATGAATTTAACTTACTATTTTTACTTTCAGATATTCATGACTCTGTTACTTTAAATCTCTCTAAATTTTCTGTTACAGATAGTCCTTGACTTATGACCACAATTGAGCTTAAAATTTCTAAGTGAGATATTTGTTAAGTGAATTTTGCTCCATTTTACTACCTTTCTTACCATCACTGTTAAGTGAATCACTGTGGTGTTAAATTAGTGACCCAGTGAAGTGAATCTGGCTTCCTCATTGACTTTGCTGGGCAGAGGTGATCGCATGAGCCCTGGACACTGCTGCCGTCATAAATATGAGTCAGTTGCCAAGCATCTGAATTTTGATCTTGTGACCATGGGGATGCTACAACAGACATAAATGTGAAAAATGGTCATAAGTCGCTTTTTTCAGTGCAGTTATAACTTTGAATGGTCACTAAACAGACTGTTGTAAGTCAAGGACTTCCTGTACTTTATGCAAAATCTACATCTAACTTAAATCATCAACTAAGTTAATTTTACAATGTGAGCATTTTATATAGCCCTAAAATGTTTTATACTATTGCCTTATTATGTAGTAGACACTGATCACAGATAATACATTTGATTTAAATGACAAGATAAATTGGTAAAAAAGTGATTTCAGTGTCTCTTTTACAGCAATCAAAAGATTTAATGTATAGTTTAGTTTTAAAAATGAAGCTTTATATATGATTATATATTTGCTGTTTTTGCATAGATGTTGGAGCAAGTTGAAAATAATTTTTTGATTCTAGACAGCATATCAAAATATTGGAATGTGAGATAAATCAGGGACTAAAATAATATATGTATCTAAAATATGACATGGTTTTTTAAAATAATGTGGCATGAAGAAAGCCTGTTTGAGTAGTAATAAAGGCATCAGGTTGGAAATTGAGTGTTTGACTAGTTCTGCCTTGGCACAAAGCTAATCGGATGATCTTGGGGGAATGTGTGAATGACCTTGGGGGACAGGGAAATGATGCTGCATAAGAAACAACCAGACAAGTGTGGGAGGAGCCCCCAGTGGATTAACAGTCAGAGGAAGAAATTTAGGAAGGATTCGTCTTAATTGTTCAAATGGTTTGGAACAATATATCAAGGACAATATCAAAAGTGATATAGGGTAATAGAAAAGCATTCATGAGAAGAATTGGAATGCTTATCAAATGGTCCAACAGTGAACAGGGAGTAAAAGAAAATTGTGTGATGTTTTTTGCTGTTTACTGTAGTTATGGATGAATTATAAAGAATACTTTTTGCAATGTTTGGTTGGGCACATGAACATGTATGTGCGTTTGTGTATAGGTGATGCCATGTTGTTGCCTGACAACATAAATGATTTGTAGCAAGTGTTAGATCATACAATGCAACAAGTAGTAAGAATCTGAAAATTAAAGATCAAGGTATTATGTTTTATTTTAAAAAAATGAAGTGAATGAATGCAAGTTAAACAAATGAATTTGAAATTAATATTGTACCTTACTGAAATGTTTACTAAAATGTTAGGAGAAAAGTAGCAATCTATTTAAAGAATGAATATTGGTTGAAAGAAGTGAAAATGACTATATGTAAGAAAGTCCTTCTATCAACTTTACGTTAGAGAAATAAAAATTGAGTAGGTAAGCAGAAACAAAAAGAGAATGCAAGTGAATGTAGAAGAACAATGATAGATCAAATTGAATGAAATATGATGGAAGAGTAAAGGGGTTGAAAAAAGATATGGTTATAAGGAGCAAAAGATTCTATAAAATATTTTGGGGGGGACAGAAGGGTAATATATTAATTTGTTTTTGGATGTACTGAAAGCAAAGATAAAAACAAAAAGGCATGGAAAAGCATAGTGAATGATGTGGGTGTAAACTTAATTTAATTAGATTTTTTCCCCTTTTTACTTCCTGCCTTTAACCTCTTTTCTAGTACATTTTAATCTTTCTTTACATTTGGAATAACACTGTTTACCCTGAAATAGAATAGCAAGATGGGTATGTATCATCCTGTTATTTATTAGATCACAGCTGAGTATATACTCAGCAAAATCCTTTTAAGCTTCACTGCCATTTCATTCTTTATACAATTTCATGCCCTAAATAAATAGTGTTTCATGCAATTATCTGAGATCTTGGAAAAATAACAGTTTGGTCAGCATGGCGATGATACTAGATAAAACTCTCAAACAGTTATTTATGAAGAAAGTAAGCGAGCATTGAGAAAAGAATGCACTGCCACGTACAGGTTGAATAGCTTTCATTTCAGCGGTGAAATCCACTTACCTTCGCTATTGGTTAGGGAATGGGAGTGAGCGGGAGCATGCACATGCTATACACGTACGCACAGTATGTATGTGCGTGCTATGCACGCACACACGCCTCTTCTGTGCATGCGCAGAGGGTCAAAAACGGACTGTAATGACGTCCTGGCGGAACCTCCTGCCACCAGCGCTACCAGTTTGCACGAGCTGGATAGATCCGGCCGGATTTCACCGCTGTTTCATTTCCTTTTATGTTTCATGAATGACACACATTTTATCCTAAATTTGAACTAGCATCTACCACTTTTTACAGAACCAGAATAAGCAATTATTACTCCATATTTTTTGGGAATATCAAAATAACATTACATTCCTTCTTTAATTTGCTTCTTCAGTCTTGATTCTCACAACTCTATGGACATGTTTAATTAAAACTGATACAGCAAGTATCATGACCTGATACAGCAAGTATCATTTTCGCCTTCCCACACTCCACCCACACTTACTGGAAACGATTTCGTGTTCCTTAGATGATCCAAACAAAGTGAGTGCTATGCTTTATTTGAATGATCTGAACATGTCCATAATATAGTAAACATTCCCTTATTCAGGCTGTAAATAATAAAAGTACAGATTGAAACTTGGAAATTGAGGTTATTAGGAAGAAATGCTTTATAGTGAAAGTGTCTATCTTGCATCTGTTCTTTTAAATTTTAAAACGAATTGACATTAGACTGCATTAGAGGAGAATGGAAAAAAACATATTGTTTTCTTGGCTAACAGCAGCGGTTAAAGCTAAAGTGGGTTTAGTTTTTGTCCATTGTACAATTTTGAGGGTAGGAAGAGGCACAAAGAGGTCTGAACATTTTTCAGCTGCATACTGATAGGATTTATCAAAGGGCAGTGTTAAGAGTGAAATTTGGAGAATTTAGCCAATACCTTGCTATAAATGTCTGATATAATATGATTGAGCTCATATTGGTTCCTGATAAACTTCTGGATGCAATTTAGTGTGCTTGTTTTTATGCATAAAGCCATTTGTGTCTTGGTGCTAATTGATTCCAGGACTGCAAATATCAGCTAAAATTGACCTTACTAATAAAGTGATCTCAGGAAAAACAAGTACTTGTTCCCCACTTCGGTGAAGTTAATTGGGGAGAGAGGAGGTGGAGCTAGAAGGCAGTTGTAGTTTTCACGGGCAGTGCCTGTTCTTCAGAATAGCCTTCTGGCAGAAATCAGAAATTTTTGACTATATAGGAAATGTTATTGTCGTGATTGGTTGAGGGGTCTTTTTATTTGTTTATATTTTAATTATATGTATTGGGGATATTTGCACTGAAATATAAATTAATTGATTATCAAACACTTAATATCATTAGGGATATTCAGGATATGTCGGAATATGTCAAGCTTATTCTAATGGTAAATTGCTAAAGTTGCATCTTGTCCACTAGTTGCTTGCTGAGTTATGATTGATTGAATTGTTTTTTTCTTCCTTTTTAAAAAAATCTCTCATTATATACAGAACCAAAATAAAATAGCTGTCTTACTGTGCAAATAATTTGATATTTTACCAATTATCTATAATGGAATGAGAGAATGATTGTGGAAGATAGAGGGGGAGTCACAACTGACTATTGGGCAGAGAAAGAAACTTGGAAAGGATCTGCCCTAACTAATCTGTTTTACTAATCTGTAAAAAGAAACAGCAGGACATTTGTACTTTCAGATTTGCAAGATTATGTTAATGTAGCCTTGTAATAAAGTAGAATTAGCTCTTTGTATAGTGCTTCCCCGTCTGGTCTACCTGGGAGACTTATTTAAGAATTACAAGTTTAATCGACTGATAGGTTTTGACACATAATGATTTAATCATTGATAAAACCTTCATTATGGTCACTGATCAAAATTCTGTGACTTAACAAATAATTTTAAAAATTAGACAGTTTCTTTTTATAAATAAAATCAAGACAACAAATTATAACTGGGTCATTGAGGTAGTCATGTGTGCCTAGTTTTACAGACTTTATAACATAATTTAGACATATTGAAGGAAACAGATTTTCACTGGTCTGATAAAAAAAATAACTAAGCATAAATCAGAATTGAATTATTCACCAGATAAGGAGTTAGAAAATTGGGCCCTTACATTGTGATATATAGTGCAATATAAAAAGAATGAGATTGTTTGGATCTCTGATAAAAAATATTTTTATCTCTGAAATAATTTTTGTTTTTCTATCTGCTTTCAAGAATAACTGCTGAGAAGAAGCTGAAACATCATAATGCTAGTATTTTTCAGAAGTTTAGAGACAGTTATTTCGTTTAATTTTAAATATTTTGGCAGCCTAAAAAAAGAGACTACTCAAGATCTGTTCTTGGATAGTACTTCAAAATCTCTAGCATGTTGCTTGAATGCAGAAGTGTTTGATCATAGCCCTTTATTAGATGGATGAGAATCCATTCTTGCAATTTTTACAGTTTTTCCATATTGATTTAGAATCGTCTGCAATGAGCAGCCTGAATGTTCTAAAAAAAAACACCCCATAATTAATCAGTGGAGAAAAAAACAATAACTAGCAAGGAATAATAAAAATCCATGTAACTGTTTTTATTGTAATTAAACTTCCCCTCCCTCCTAAACACTTTGTACCACGTT